GGGGGCTTATTAACTCTCTTCCCCTGAAAAGGGGGTGGGGCTTATTAGAGAAGGGGCTTTATTTGAGATTTATACCGAGATTGATGCTTAAAGATGATGAATTTTGATTGTTGAAAGGGAGGCAGCGTGGCCGAGTGGTCAGCGCGTCGGACTCGCAATCCGGCGGTCCCGGGTTCGAGTCCCGCTCTGGCCACTTGCTGGATTTGTGCTCGGTCGTCCCGAGTTCAAATTCTCGGCCACGCTTGTAAATAGCCAACTGGTTGTCTCCTGCCAGTTGGGGTTTTTAATCCTGTTATGTTGTATTTGAATTATTTGTTTCTAATATTTGAGTGGAGTGCCTGTAAATTAGCTGGACAAGCTAAGTGCTCTTTCCACTATAAACAAGCCTTTAACCTTTTTTTTTTTTAACCTTTTGCAAATTTAAGGAATTTGTGTAAGAAAGTTTTTGGAGCCAGAGCAATACCAAACTCTCCCAAGCAAATGAAACTCTTCAAAACTTTAATATTCTAACTTTCATATAAAGTATCTGTTAGATGTCAGACGTCCTAATCGTTGCAATATTTTCGAATCTGACTATAGTGTGAAAAGCCTCTATGCTCTATGCAAACTATGCCACATAAACCTAACTACATTCCATATATAGGTCGATCTTATTTATAGCATTGTAGCTTGGAGAAAATACCGACACTATTTATCATTTAGGACTAATTGCAATACAGACACATTTTAGCAAGACTGCTAAGCATCGTTCATACTTCCTAATTTAAGTGTCACGTGACATTGCTGTTAATAGACATATCGTTAAGATCTCACACCTTTTGTACACATATAGGCGAATCATTGGTGACGTCATTAGCATACGACTTAATCATTCTTACAAAGGATACACGTTTTCTTAATTGCTTTTATTTTGTTGCAATTGTGGTACGAAAAAAAAAAGCCGAGTGCAAAACTGGGAGATGCGCTAGAACACAGGCTCTGAGAGGTTTAACTAAAACTCGTTAGCTTTTGGTCATTAATGTAGGAATCCAGTTTATGATCTTATTTATTGGAATTATATTTGCTTTGCTAAGCACATTCAAGTAACATAAAAAGAATTCGTGAAACGGAGGGTATTTAGAAAAGAAAGAGAACGTAACAGGGAAAACTACATACGGACTGAAATCCTTGACGAGTTCAGGATATATACGCTGTATATAGTTGATTATTGGTATACTGAACCATTGATTGGTTTATATCAAAACAAGCCTTTTTGCCTTTTGTTTGGACATCATAAAACAACGACAAACTCAACACGGGCGCTATCAAAAATTAATTTTTTTGAAAATAAAATAATAGGCCAATCATTACATTATAACCTATTCTTACCTGTTTACTAATTAATAAGTGCCGGTGAGATTTCTACTAGCCCGCCAGTCGCTGCTATATATCACAATTTCAAACGGTGCACCATTGTTTCATTGGAGCTCCTAGAGAATTTACCGTCATACCACCTCTACCTATCTGCTAACCAGATGGGAATAAGGGTATATTGTAGCGAACAACTATAAATATTATCGAGAACTTCGCTTCTAGCCCTGGCTAAATCTGTATATTAGGGAAAGACCACGTTGTATAAGCCTCATGGTTTCTTTGGGCATTCTTGCCATATTCTAACAGATTCCTGTAATTTATTACTTTGTCCTTTTGCAAACGGACTAATAAAATTCAAGGTTCAACTATGCATGCAACTGTTGAAAACTGTTTAAACTTAGAGTACCTTACCTTTCAGGAAACAGCCCTCAAATTTATAAATATAATTGGTCCGTTTGCAAAAAAAATTGAGAATCCTTTGTTTTCAAAAAACGTTGTCACTGGATAATCTTCTTCCACCTGCCCCGGTTCGAGTAGTCGCACTGTAAGAAGTCCTAAGAACACCCAACAAACGAAAAGGACTTTCATAAAAGACATTTTCTCTAAACCGTTACTTAATTATATTTCAAAGAAATGACTGGTACTTGTGAAATGTTTGGCATTTGGTATCTGGTATTTGTGCCAGTTTTTTAAGCGATTGCATGGAAGGTAAATGTCGAACATAAACCGTACATTGACCGAACCTAATATCAGTATTTGGAGTGTATTACTAAAAATCATGAAAAGTTCGACGCAAGGATCGTTAGTGAGGATCGACAGATTTTTTTACTTCATCGTCAAGCAGTGATTGCTTGGCAAAGAAGTAAAAATCCTAGGTAAGAAATACTAAGTAATCAAACTGTGTCAATTGTTTTTATTTCTTCGTTTGTGGCGAGTCCACTTCTTAGTGACGATTTTGGTTGCGAGGTAATTTCAACCATTAGAAAATATTGTTGAAGAAGATTGATTGCAACTGGGGAGCAATTGGGGTCGACCTATAATCTGTACTTAAGGCGGGGCCTTTCACTAAACACCCGGTAAATGATCTAATAGGTTCCCGTGACGTCTATTTAAGTTTAGGAGCCCGAACGGGGGCGTTTGATAGATAAGAGGCGTTTAAAAGATAAGGACATTTATTCTAATTAGCGACTTTAACAAACGCCACAAAACTAATGCGCTTACGGCGAATATATCACTGCAATTTATAAATACAGTCAAACTCTCGCCTTGAGGACTACCCGCTATAACGGACACCCCGATAAAACGGACAGTAACTAAATCCCCAGCAAAAACAAATTACAGACGTTTGACTGAAATAAACTCGCGCTATTACGGACTCTCGCTAAGAGGACACTAACTCGAGATCACCATTTTGTAGAAGTCTGTGAGCGTGAATACCATTTTCCGGTTCCAGCGACCGCGGGATCAGGAACTCCGGCGCAATTACGTTCGTCGCAAGGACTGCGAGGAAGAAGAAATCATCACTCAAGAAACAGCATTCACAGGAAAGAATCAGAATCGCCGCAGGATGAAAATAACGGCAAGAGTAAGTAAGGCTATCGTGGTCCCCCTTTATGCATGAAACGTCCTCATGGTTATAACAGGGGCACCCAACGACAGTTTCCTCCTAAATACATTGAAAACACTTTTTAGGCTATCTAGAGTACTTTTGGATCTCTAGAAATGATATTCTAAGCTGCGCTATAAAATTTGTATCTGTTCAGTCATCCTAGGGGAACGTGAGTGTTCTCAAAATTATAAGGGCTTCAGAATTATTTTCCTGAAAATTTTAGACGCAATTTAACGTATTACGAAGGTGACAATTTTTTCTGATTCCTCTCTCCATCACCGTTTTGAATCCGAAAATTTTAGGCTTCCTTTTTGCTACGAAAAATAGTCTTACCTGGGGAGTGAAATGAAGCTAAGCTTGAAAAACTGTGCATGAATGGAATGGTCATCTAGAAATTTTTAGCCGTCCTCAAGTAATGGAAAATTTAAGGCAATATTTGGTTCTCCGAACAGATATTTTACCGAAAACAGTCGTTGGGTGCCCGTGTTAATACGATCGAACACTATGGGCGCATTCCATTGAGCCCAAAATTCGGGAAATTGCGGTTAGAAATCAAATGGAAAGTACCATTTCGGTTCGGTCCAACCGGAATATTTGAGACCACCTTTGACCGATCCGGTCTTTTTGGTCGGTCGGACCGAAATGTCCCTTTCCATTTGACAAAATTGTTGTCCC